TTTTCAAGACGCAACAATGGACATATCATTAATCGTACACGTTACAGCAGAGCATCAGCAAGTAGGCTCAAAACCTCTTTCCATATTTGGGAGGTGAGGCAAAAGAGTACCCCCTCCGAGCTCGATAGCTCGAGTCCTCCAAAATGTCCCACCGCCGCCGACTCAAACCCTACAAAAACAACGTCGAAATTAATCCAATAAGCTACGGTGAAGAGAGACAACGTCGAAATTAATCTAATAAGCTACCGTGAAGAGAGAGAAGTGTGTCAATGATGAGAAAACCAAGGCAAGCCCTAACGTAAACCCTAAGAGAAAGAAAGAAGAAAGAAGAAACAGATTCGTTTACCGCTGAACGATAAAGGAAGCAGAAGCCGACTAAAGAAGCTCCAGTGGTAGTCGCCATTAGTCCACTTTGGCTCTTGCTGCTCCGTAGGCGCCAGCCAAGAAGAAGCGATCAGGAGCTAAGAGGGCAACCAGGAGAAAATATTACATGGACTCCTAGATGGTTTGAGCGGAGTCAATTGTGAGTTGAGTTTCACCGTAATATTGTAAATGATGGGATGTCTTATCATTGTATTCCAAATGTATCAAGAGTCATCATATAATAATTTTCCGGCAATCAGAGGCCCACCCTGCACTTCTCAAATTCAATTTTTTAGATATATTCCCTCCTCAAATATCAATTTTGTATAAATATCACTTTCTTTATAAAGAAATTTTCCCCCACCGCACAAAATTTTTTTTTAAAAAAAGGCAAAAAAAAAAAACATCTCGCCGGTATATCACGCCCGTCATCCGTATATAGTTCGTGTACGGATGACGTACGCAAAATTTTCTCAAAAACAATGCTAGTTTTGCGTACTATCACAAATATCATTAGAATACTTTCATGTGTAATTTTGGTGGTATTGCGCTACAATACCATCAAAATACTATTGATACTCGTCTAATTCACCCAGAGGAGATTTATGACATATCATCCAAATACTCTGTATTTACATATCTAAGATGTTAATTTTTTTACCTTCTACCCTCGTGAAATACACACTTATATGCATAGATATGGTGACATATATTAATAATTGAAGTTTAGGTGTAATGTTTATGGAATTCATGAAAAACAAACAATAAAACATTGATAATGTAGTATAAGAAGATTTAACTACTTACCACTCAATTAATATATATTTACATGTTTAATACATAAACTTCTAGTTTTACATATATCACATTTTTTTATGTAAGAAAATATGTATTTCACATTTTAAAAGTTAAAATAGTAATTTTTGTAGCATGTATGTAAATGCTTCTATATTATAGATATATGATTTTACTTTGCATTGTATTTTAGGGGCATTTAAATACATTCCACCCAATTCTTATCTATTTATATATAAAGCACCTAAGGCTTATTTTTCCACATTTGTACCCGCTAAATATTTCATATCATATAAAAATATTACTATATTAACTCCTACAATGTAAAGGACACTTTTGCGTGCATAGAAAAGGTGGTATGAATGTAAAAAATTGAAGCTTAGATGCTGGATATGTAAATACAAAAGAATTGAGTGGTTAAAAATATGTGTTAATATACAATGTATTAGGAAAAGCATTACATCAGTACTCCTAATGTATAGCTACGTTGAGATTGGAATATTCCGTTGTATTACGGGAATATTTCATCTGCGTTATTTGTAAAAATGACGTGTTATTCCAGTATTATATGTTGTTATTCAATTATTTTGCGGTGTTATTAGAATATTTCATCGCATTACTTGATTCGGGGTTGCAGCGTTATTAGAATATTCCCCCGCATTAATTGATTTGGGGCTGTGTTATTTCAATAACATTGTGAAAATTAAAATAACACGGAGAATATGCTAAATAACACGACCCCAAATCAAATAACACAGAGAAATATTCAAATAACACCGCAAAATAATCGAATAACACCATATAATATTCGAATAACAATTTTTTTTTACAAATTTACAAATAATGCAGATGAAATATTTATATAACACAGCAAAATATTCTAATCCGAACGTAACTTTACGCTATGAGTGCTGACATAATATTCTTCCAAAGTATTATGGGATTTTAGATAAACATTAATTTTAATTACATGTAAATATTTTGAATATTTTATAGAAATTACTTAAAAGAACATAACGCCACATTTTAGCATTTTCAACACATAAAATTACATTTATAACCTATAATTCTTTAATATTGAAAATCTATTCATAAGAAAAAAATATATGTTAATTTTTAAAAGCTAATGTTTTTATAAATATGAAAGTTAAAAGTATAAAATATGAAAATATAAGGGGCATCTACATACATAAGCCCTATCCCTTTGTATTTTACATATCTGACAACTTAAACTTTATTTTTTACATTCATACCGCCCAAATATTTCATATCACATAAAAAACATCATTCCTTTTTACTTTTAAAAAATGATTTATAAGTAAAAATATAAATTTTGATGTCACATATATAAATACATAAGAATTGCTTCCCAAAATATGTATGTAAATGTCCCAAACAAATGTATGCAAATCTTCCCAAATGCACTTTTCTTCGGGAGCAATTACATACAGACCACTCGAAACAAACTTGCTATTTACAAATCAATGTATGTAACTATCACCATAGCGGTTAATTTGTAAATATCAATATTTCGGGTGATCTGCATGTAATTATCCAACAAAAGAACCATGATATGAAAGGAGGATCAACAAATACTTGATTTATTCTACATAAACAGTTTAAAAAAAAAAATACATTGAAGTTCTATAATTACACATGGGATGTGAACAATAAAGACTGCAGTGTAAATTTTCTACTAATGGACCCAAAAAAATTACAAAAATACCAACAGGATGAAACCTTTCCCCAACACAACATGTAGATGCTCCCAGCTCCAAAATTTCAGATGTCTCCCGAGAAGGCACCGGCTGCAAATAACATATTCCTCCGGGAGAACTAGTTAAAATTAAAACATTAATCAGTAATGAATTATTTTGAGCCAGAGCATCATTATAAAATTTACATTTATAATCCTAAATTAGTTCTATACCACACCTGTTGCAGGTCTGCAAAACATCAATACTGATATATATATATATACATATATATATATTTGCAATCTCTCTACACTGCCTATTTTTCGCAAATATTTTGATCCTAAAGTCGTGAAATAAAGAGGGGCACGAGGGGAGAGCAAGTTGAAGGTGCTAGAGCTGTTGAAAAAGCTAGACATTCGCAAATAACTCGTCAGATTTGTTTGTTAAGTCGAATACAAACTTTTTTTAGCTCTGACTTGAAAACGAACCGAACACAAATAAAGTTTTGCTTGATTTAGTTCAATTCATTTTGGCTCGATTATCGTCTCAGCGTTGAGGAAAGTTTCCCCCGTTCTGTGTAGCATGCGAGCAACAAGATCTTCTTTCGGGTTGTGGAAATGACGACAAATGAAGAACTTCTTTCCATTGAGAACTAGAGGAAGGGTCAGAACTAGGAGGATGCGGTGTCAGTTCTGACAGAGAGCGACTGATTTTACTTTGAAAGAAGTGGTACTTTCTGAACGACATGGTGGTGAAATTGCCGACTTTAACCAATCAAACGTATTCTTCTCATTCTGGGTATATTGTCGTTAATGAGGCAGTCTTGAGAGCCGGCCTACGATTTCCGATGACATCTGAGTTTATCCCAATCATGAAAGCATTCGAAGTTTGTGTTGCTCAGTTGTCTTGTCGAGTGAGGACAAGCATTATCGGGTTGACTTTTTTTAAGAGTCGTGGGTTGATGTTGACACCGGCAATTTTAGCGCGGCTATACGAGTTCTTTTGCAACGCTTTAACACGTGATGTTTAACCACAAGGCGCTGGATATTCACGAAATGAGAATCATGTATGATTCTTATCACGGGACGGCAAAATGACGGAGGAAATTGCAACTGGGGGGATGTGGAACGACAAGCCGGGCTGGCTTTCGGAACACGGAACGATGAGCGGTTTGAAGGAATTCAGACCGGCGGAGCCAGGACGGCAAGATTTGAACGAAATTTGAACTGGCAAAACATTGGATTTGCTTGATGGACTGCGGGAATCGGACTGGCGCAACAATTAATCGCGGGATTTGAACCGCGAGAGATGGTTAAAGTGCAAAAAATGGCTGAATTTTAACAGGTTTTTTATTTATTTAACTTATTTATATATTTATAACATTTGTCTTAAAAGTTAGACCTCCTGTTAAGCATACAAATAGAGATCATGAATGAGGAGAAAAAACAAGTGCGGAGAACAAGAAAAAAGAGGAAGAGTGAAGAGTAGAATCTTCTCCTAGCGAAATTTTCTAGAAGAAGAAAGTCGTTCTAGTTTTGCGTAGCATGCGAGAAACGAGATCTTCTTTCGTGTTACGTTGCAGAGGAAAGTCATCCTCGTCCTGCATAGTAGACGAGCAACGAGATCTTTCGCGTTGCGACAAAGAGGAAAGACATCTCTGTCCTGCATAGCAGACGAGTAACAAGATCTTTTGTCATGTTGTGGACAAGAGAAAACTCGTCATCGTCCTGCATAGCAGACAAGCAACAAAATCTTCGTGTTGCAACCAAGTGAAAAGTCGTTTTCGTCCTGCGTAACAGACGAGTAACGAAATCATTTTTTGTGTTGCGAAAATGACAACAAATAGAGAACCTTGTTGCGATGAGAACCAAAGAAAGGGCCATAACTCGGAGGATGCATGTCAATTATGACGGAGAGAAACTTGATTTTATTTTGAAAGAAGTACTACTTCCCGAACGACGTGATGGTGAAATTGCCGACTTAGCTGACCAAGCGTATTCTCCTCCTTCTATGTATTTTTCTATTCATGAGGCAATCTTGAGAGCCAGCATACGATTTCCGCCGACACCTGAGTTTATCGAAATCATGAAAGCGTTCAGAGTTTGCGTTGCTCAGCTGTCTTGTCAGGAGTTGATAATCATTATCGGGTTGACGTTGATGTTGATAATTTTAGCACGAGAATAGTTCATACTCGACTTGACTTCACCCTTGATCTTCGAAGTCATAAAATACAAGACGATTGAGGAACAAGCAAACAATATTATAAGGTCTCGTTGCCAGTGCCCCCACATTAGTTCCGCACAAAAGTAATCCATTCGAAGCGAAAAATGGCTTGAGAAGAGGATTGGGAGAATATGTTTACCTGCAATGTATAGACTGGAGTTGATCTTGTTGCAAAAACTTTCAGTAATCTGAGCCTGCTACTGGTGCTACCTTTGCTGAAATAAAGAATATGGGTGAGGGTGATAATATAGAGGATTTATTTCACTAGTGGTTTTGAGGAACTTACATATCATCTAGTTTTGCTGCCTTGTTGCTAGAAGTTACATCCCATAGTTTGACAGTGCTATCAGCAGATCCAGAAGCAACAATATTTCCCTCACAGCTGTAATTAAGAAATTGCATGAATATAAAATTAATTTAGAGGCATTTACATACATACTACACATTTACTTTTTTTTACATTAATAGCACCCAAATCTTTCGTATCAAATCAAAAATATCACTATTTTAACTTTTTAAGAAGAGAAATATTCTTTTTCATACATAGGTAAGGTGGGCATATATGTAAAAATTGAAGTTTATGAGTTAGAAACGTAAATATATAAGAATTGTGTTGTATGTATGTGCATCCACATTTAATTGATGTAATAAGGATGAAAAGTTAAGCTCTTTTTAGTGTTAAAAACATGCAAAAAGACTTGGCATAAAAATATGTTTTTTATAAAACAAAAAGGCAAAATTGATCCCGAACAAGTAGTTGGTAAAGGGTATAAAAGCAAATAAAAGGAGAGGAAAAATGCAAAAACAAACCTGAAAGCCAAAGACCAGATGCAGGTGTTATGGCCCAAAAGCGGTGTGACACAACGCCCAGTGGAGAGATCCCATATCATGACAATCCCGTCCTCGTCTCCAGAAGCCATATACCGCCCGTCAGGAGACATTGCCAACGACAACACCATGCTTCTGTGGCCGATAAATATTCGCACGCTTTCGCCGCTCTGTACATCCCATAATCTTACCGTTTTGTCGCTCGAACCAGTGGCGATGTAGTTACAGTTCGCATGCCATCGAACGCACTGTAAGACAAATTTATAACATTAAAGGGGCATTGGCATACATACCACCCAATTCTTATGTATTTACAAATCTAACATTTACATTTTGATTTTTTTTTTTCCCTATCCCTATTTATGCCGCCCAAATCTTTTATGCCGCCCAAATCTTTAATGTCACATAAAAAATACCAAAATTTTAACCTTTTATAAGTGAATATTAGGGAAGTGGTTTGGTGGGTCGCAAGAGAAATACATGAACATAACTCCCCAACTATTTTAGAGAAATTTATGCATGTAGCACATAATTCTTATGTATTTATATATCTCACACCAAAACTTTTTTACATACATAACATAGCACTTTGGTGCTTTAGATCTATGCATGAAAATGTGTATATCACTTTTAAAAAATAGTAATAGTGCTACTTTTATGTGATATTAAAGATTAAGTGCTATCTATATAAATATGAAAGTTTAAGTGTGAGATATGTAAATGCATAGGATTTGTATGCTATATATGTAAACACCCTAATAAAAAAACAGATCTTAGACATATCCCAACAAAATCCACCTAGATAACCATGGAGGCGCAACGAGACGAAGCAAGTTGAAAGTGATATAATGAATGCCAATTTTGAGCAAAAAGTTGACTACACTAGTTTAGTAAATCCCAAGCGAACATTCGCGATAAACTAAACGAAACAGATGAATCAACATAAATACATAAATTCATAAATCAAACTAGAGTTATAGTAGTTTTTTGTAAGACAAAAGTCTCCAAACGGACGAGCTATACTTACATCGACATCAGAGAGATGCCCAGCCATTATTCTTAATGGTTGAATTCTATCCATTGACCAAATCCTAGCGGTTCGATCATGCGAAGCACTGACGAAGTAGTGACCAAGTGGACCAAACTATATATATATATAAAGCAGATAAAATAGCAACATATTAGAGATAAAGGTCATAGCACACTCATTAGAGATAAAGGTCATAGCAACATATTAGAGATAAAGCTTGAAAATAGTATTAACATAAATGTGTGGTCAAGACTTCCTTGCAATGAAGAAATCATAGAAAAATAAGCTCAAAAAGAAAATAACATCTTCAAATAGTTTGTCATTAATAAGAAAACAAAAGAAAAAAGTTTTATCATAAATACAAACCTGAACATCCCACACAGGATAATTGTGTCCTTTATAGCAGACCAGATTAGCATTCAACTTGGTGCTCCATAGTCGGACTACGACCGTTAAACAATAGTATCGGTAAGTACATGTTTGATGCTAAAGCGGCTAAACTAGTTAGAAATACCAAATGAATACGCACAAAAGAAACATAAAATGGAGGTTTTTACATACCAATCATCCAAAACTTTAAATATAATGTTTTAGCCACCTAAACTTAAAATTTGCATTTCAACCGTCCAAAATTTTATTTCCTTTTAAAAGAGGTGTGGTCAATCTGTTATATATAAAGTTTTGGGTTGTTTAATAGTGGTTGAAGTGTAAAATTTTTAAGTTTGGGTGCTCAATCTGTTATATTTAAAATTTTTTATGGTTGATATATAAAAATCCCAAATAAAAAACTAAAAACAAAAGCCAAAAGTGATCCCAATGGGTCCTAAGTTTTTGATAATAGGGAAATATAAATGTGCTTTCTTCTGAGTGAAAAACCCAATAGTTTAACAAAATAGGGAATATCTAAGGGGACGTTTGGGATCTCTTCTTGTTTCTATTCTTTAAATTTTATTTATGTTTTGATTTAAAAGAATATAAGTTTGGTATGTCCGATTAAGATGTGATTATTTTTAAAAACAATCAACGATTCAAAACAACTAAAAAAGTTGTTTGGAGTGTATTCAATAATATATTATTTTATTTTTAAAAATAAAAAATAAAAACATGCAAAAAACACATAACAAATATATTTTTGAAAACAAAAACAAATAACAAATAACAAATTTGATCCCAAATAAATCCTAATAAAATATGCATGGTACACAATGAAAAAAGCACGAGAGAATGCATACTTGTTGAGTCGGAAGAAGAAGACAAGATAAATTCCCCCGTCGGACAAAATGAAGAAGAATAAACTGGTCCTGAATGACCCTGGAACAACGTGTAAGCTCTTTTACCCTCTTCCAACCCAACCAAAAGCTCGCTAGGAGCGGATTCACTTTCTCCCAGCGAATGGGGTCCTGAAAAGTGCAGTTCATTAATCAATTCATCAATTACTGATATCCAGCAACGATTACAAAGCATTTTATGCAATATAAATTTAAAAATTAAAACAGAATTTTGGTGCAAAATATTCACAAAGTGGCATTTTATTACTTCCTCCAATCTTAAATAGATCTGTAAACATTCGTTTGCTCTTATCAAAGTAAAAAAATTAAAGGGACGAGGACTTTGTGCATCAAATAACCAAAAAAAAAAAAAACATAAACACTACTAAATTTTTTTTTATATATAAAAATTACACCAAGCTTCCAAAACGAAACATTTAACTTTATTTTTCTCTTTAGGATTTGAGCTGTATTACTATAAATAGAAATCCATGGGTGTTACTTCTAAAAATATGCAAGATTTTGACACTTCCTCCACAAAAAAGAAGTAATTGAAACCCCTTCAATTTACTAGGAGATTGACATCATAATTTTAATTAGCTAGATAAAAACACAAAAAAATTATTATTTCAAAATGCGTCTCAATATTTAACATAGCATTAAATGATACTAATATCAAACACACTAATATCATGAACCAATATTAAAAAACAATCTAATTCCACTAATAGCATGCTATAGTTATTAAAGTAACCTCCATTAACTTAGCAATCATGTTCTTACAAAAAAATGCCTATCCTCCCGAGATGTAATCACCATTTTTTGTCACTATATTTAAACAAATTGATAAAATATAGATGTGATAAAATAAGTTAATTTCTTCGAAATAGTACAAACACGAGAATCATGACTACACTCGAGTATTTTTCACCCGTTAATACCTGAAATATTATCATTACTTACCTGCCTTAAGAGGCTGGCCCATTTTTGACATGTCCCATACCTATACATATATATTAAAAAACGGAAATTTAAATTCATAAATACAAAAAAAATTACGAAAATATTCCCTTGAAACACAACCTTCAAAGATGAATCGGAAAAACCTCCACTAAGCAATGAGCCATCAGAAGAAATCGACACACAATTCAATCTATCAAAAAATAAAGAGAAAATGAGTGACAAAGAAACTTGAAATTTAAACAAGTAAAAAAAATAAAGTAAATTTCTTGTCATAATTACCCATGATGCGTGTTGACGAAAGTGTATAAGCATATGGATGGCAATGCCATGCTATTCAATTGGACACGATTCCTCAAGTCATTGAGAATAGACTGCTCCATTTCATTTGACCTGCAAATTAAATTTAATGTTTACATACATACCGCCTTACTTATGCATGAAAATGTGTACTTCACTTTTTAAAAGTCAAAGGCAATATTTTTGACGTGATATGAAAGATTTGGATGTTAAATATGTAAATACATAGGAATTGGTTGGTTTGCAGGGCTGTCAAAAAAGGTCGTCATTCACGAACAACTCATGTCCGGCTCGTCGACTCGTTCATTAAGCCCAATGGATAAAAGCTTAATATTGTCTTTACAAATATGCACACCACAAGATGCATGCATGAAAAGTTAAATGATGTGATGCATACAACACCTTACAAGCATATTTTACTAAATATACAAATAAACAATGAAAATTTACATGCAAACCACACAATTCTTATGTATTTACATATCTAACACCCAAAGTTTAGTATTTACCCTTGTAATACCTTGGTTTCATAAATTTATGAATGAAAATGTGTATTTCACTTTTAAGAAGATAGTGATGGTGATACTTTTGTTGTGATGTTAAAGATTTGAGTGGTATGCATGTCAATATAAATGTTTTGAGGAGTTTGATATGTAAATACAAAAGAATTGTGTGTTATACACATACATGCCACGTTAAAAAAATGAGAAGTCAAAAATTTGGTATGACCAATACTTCAAATTAGCGAAAAAAGCCTAAGCAAGAAAGAACATCTCTATAACTTCGAAGGAAATCATTAAGCAGTGCTTGAAATGTAAAACAAAAAATTTTCCCATTTTAAATGTCAGCATAAATCCATTTAAGGCTCATAAATTACATTCCAATTATGATTTTGCTCGTATTTTCCATAACCTTAAAGAACTTGATAATCAAATAAAACATGCAAAGCATACTTTTGCAGAAACACTTATAAAGTTAAACTCCGTACCAGATTTAACAACATTTTCGATTTATACTTCATCATACTATTATCTTGTAATGATATTTTGCTTTTACATTCTAATCTGGCAATTCACACTGATTGTCATTTGTGTCCTCATTTCATTATCTAGCTATGATAGTTTGCTTTTAAAAAACTAAGGAAAAATTCAAGTCTCAACCATAATGAATTTTACTTCGGAGTGATAATTTTCTTTTAGAACTTCACTACAGAGAACAAACAAGAAAAGCACGTAACAAAATGGAAAATTAATGGAAAACTATAGGTATACATTATCGGTAAAGTGAGTTCAGGTTTCACCCTTGGAGCCAACGAAACTGTACTAGTCTCGGATCGGACACCTTTACCCATTGCACCAACAATCTTGTCCTTTTTAAGTTTTTTAGAAGAAGCACCTTGCTTTCCTACATCTGCAGGCCTTTTCTGTTGCAGCGAAAAAAAAAAATCTTTAAAACACTATGCCAAGCAATAACTGTAAAAATGAATGGTTAAGTGTTTGATATGTAAATACATAAGAGTTGTGTGGTATGCACGTAAATGCTCCTTAAGGAAATTATACAAGGAAGAGACAGGGTCTATCGCAACAAGACATACTTGCCTTATTATCATCAACATCCATGTCTTTGTTTTCGCCTTCAACTTTCTCCGAATCGGATAATGTCTTCTCTAATCTTTCTTCGACAGTATCTTCTAATAACTGCTATGATATGTACATCCCTCAGCATATATTGTTTAAAGAATTATAAGAAACAAAATGTGGAAAACTAAGGGCAGAAAGAAAGAAAATAAAGTATTACGCAATTAAATATGAAAAATGGACATATTCATGTCCAAAATAGCAAAAGTCTCTTTCTCTAGAACCTAGCATGAATGAAAATCAAACTATTCAATTTTTTTCAACATATTTTCAATCAAAATAATTATCGTCTTCTTTTTAAATAGAAAGAAATTTTTTTACCAAAGAAAGTGAAAAAAATATAGTCAAGGCCATTTGTTGCATGACGGATGTATATGAAATCATTGTTCATAAAATTTGAATTTATTATTAACCTTATACCATCTATTAAGGTTAGCTTGATGAATAAAACTTACAAATCACTCATATTTCAAATAAAAATTTTCAAAATAAAATAGTGTAAAGTTTTCCGCGGAGGATGTTTCTAGCATCTATAACACTCCAAACACGTAAGATGGCACACAAATGATGTGGAGAAAGAACTCACCCCCCAATGAACTTCTTTTTGATTTACTTGCTTTGCTAAATCTTGGTTATTTCCCACAAGAGCTAAAACATCCAAGTCATCAGTAATGGAGACAGGTTGACCCGACGATACTTTTGACATTAAAAAACAAAATTATTAAAATAAATTAGCTAATAATGATAAAACCATTTTAAAAGAGCATAACAAACATGCCAATACATAAAGGAGAAGATTTGTACCTTCAAAGTTGATATGTTCATTGATTACTTCAAGCATGGTAAAAGACTGAGCCTTCCGAAGATATTGCAAAAGTAGAGTGTACGAGTACTAATTCCAAAGGAAGAAAACAATTTTGTTATAATTTGCCTAACCACATGATGCATCGTAGAAGCTCAAATTTATTCTAATTTAGCTCTTATTAAAACATGAGAAATTTTTTTTAATGAATTATCACTGTACTTGGTAGCTAAAAAAGGCCTTGAATATTTGCACAACAAAGTGATTTAAGAGTCAAACACACTGAATCATAAAAAACAAATAGATCAAATAGAGCCTCTCCTTCGCGACAGTAAAAAATTAAAGAAAGATTTACATACATATCACTCAATTCCTATGTATTTGCATATCTAACACCTGAACTTTAACTTTTACAAACATGCCACCTTATCTATGCATGAGAAAATGTATTTCACTTTTTAAGCTGAAATAGAGATATTTTTTATGTCATAAAAAAGAGTTGGGTGATAAATGTTAAAAAGCGACATATAGGTGTTAGATATGTAAATACATATGAATTAGAGTGCGAGCAGGCAGTTTGCAAAGTTAGTGAATATAGGAGGTATTTACAAGCAGTGAAGAACAAAAATAACAATAAATTTATTGTAAAATTCATATAAAATCAAGGATCTGGAAGTTCTATGCGCATTTTGCAATCATCTTTCACAAGAAATTCAAACAAAAAAACGTTGGAAAGTGTGGGCACAAGAAATGTTTATCTGAAATATCAACTATAAACAAACTTCAAACAAAAGCAAAGGTAAGATGGCACCTCACACAATTTTATGTTAACTTTGCTATGTCTCAAAGATCTAGCCAGTTCCATCTCCTGCATAATAAAAATAAAGGGAAATATACATACGTAACACACGATTCTTATGTACTTAAATATCTCACGCCAAAACTTTCATTTTTACATATATAGCACTGTGGTGCTCTCAACCTATGCATGAAAAGATGTATTTCACTTTCAAATAGTGGCAATGGTACATTTTTTGATGTGATATTAAAGATTGCTATTTGTGTAAATATGAAAGCTTAGGCGCAAGATATGTAAATACATATGAATTGTGGGGCATGTATGTAAATGCCCCTAAAAATAAGGCATTGCATTGTCAATGAAAAATTGTTATAAAAGTCAGTGGTATTACAAGCAAGTTCCTAACAGCACAACCTCCAAATGTGACGGAGAGAGTATCCCCTCTAACTTTCGCAGATCCCTTAGATGCATTAATTCATGGTCTTCACGGAAAGATTGAAAGAATGCTCGGGCTGAAAATTATATATGTACCACATTGCAAAGAAGGGATAAATAACTTGAAACATAGTCTATGAGTAGAGTGTCAAAATAGTCCTCTGACTATTCATATGAGGGAATTTAGTCCCGGTGTCTAAATATTCCGGACTCTTTAAATTGGAGCTGAAAAATCCTTAGTTGGAACAATTTCAGCCAATATTAAAAGAATGTAGGAACTAAATTGACATTTTTCTAGACTCTGAGACTAAGATTACCTCCCGCAAAGAATTAAAGGACTGTTTTAACATTTTGCTCCATAATAAACATAAAAGATGAAGAAACAAAAAGGCTGCCAAATTTTACCTTCTTGCATGTGTCCGTCGGCTATAATGTCCATAAAGCAGTGTATAAAAACAGGATACAGTACCCGCAGCAGCTCGTGCTGAAAAAAAAAATCATATTATTGAGTACAAACAGTAAAACATCACCAGGTTCATAAACAAGTGTTTCGTAAATGCATTGAACTCGAACAAACTGAGATCGTTAAAATCATGGAAATTTTCTTTTGAATTAAGCTGCATCTTGAAATTTCAGCAAAGTGCCGAGAATAGACATGTCTCCCTTTTCATATTACAAGTTAACAGAGAATAATCAAGAATGTCAGCATATTATTTGTACTAAATGCATGGTGTAACTTATGAATTATAAGGTCTTTCTCTCACTAAATATCATTATTAGTTTGACCTTACAAGTAAAATTAACTCAGCTAGAGTAGAGATTTAAAACATAGTGATTCAAAGTTCCAACGCTCAACAACTGTCATCTGAAGGTAAAGTTCCCTCAACTGGACTCTTTCGAGGGGAAAAAAAAAGTTCAAGTAATCCAAAACAAGTTCGCAATGCCATGAATTAAAACTGATGCAGTTGGAAATAAAGGGATGCAAGTGAAAAGATAAAAAGATAAATATAAAATAATATAATCCAAAAACATTGTGAATACACAAAACTTAGTAACAGGAGCAATTATTTAAAAGATGGTCGTTCTTAAGTAAGCAGAGCGGATCTAACACTCCATAACCAAATCTGTTTTCAAGGAGAAAAAAGATTTGGTTATGGATTTCAAATTGTACCATAACACAAAAAATCATACTTTGAAGTTCAGCAAATAATGCTGATGAGACTCTGCATAGAGCCCTTAAAGCGATTGACATGCATAGCAAAGATATTAAAAACACTCAATTGAGCAAAAACAATCAATTTTTTGTTAAATCCTCAATCAATATTTCAATTACAAATCATGGGGGGACAAGGATAAGATTAAATATTTAAAAAAAATGATCTTATACAAAACTAAAAAAACTTTCATTATTAGCATAATCTTGCTCAAAAAAGGAAAAATAACCTGAAAAAGACTGCTTGAAAAAGTAAATTCATGCTCATAAATTATTGTACGGCGTGCAAATAAAGGCTGAAGCTATTGAATTTCCCCATGATTATCCATAACTTGCCAAGCATAATGTAAAAGTTTTAGTATTTTTTTTTATTATTTGTACATAAGCATGAAAGTTTGATGGCTTAAATAAAAGAAAAAGCAAAAATTCAATGTTGATAAGCAAAGTTTATGTTTGCCAGCAAACTTTTATTTCCAACAAGATGAGAATTTGCATTTATTCAATGGGAGAAAAGAAAAAATTATATAACATGAAACAATTTCAATGTATGCACTGACAAAATTTTCCAAAAGTTCCGACCTTGTATAAATCCAATGAACCGTATGCCCATGTCCTGAGCTTGCTATAACCATCATGGTATAATGCTGGGCCTCTTTCTGATCTGCATATCAATTTTTCTTCAATATGAAAAAAAAAAGGTGGAAAGATAATAAAATTGGTGAATAGAAAGTTTAAAGCCTATATTATCAAAAATTAATCATTCTTTCAGAGTGAAACACTTATACAAGCAGATTCTATAAAAAATAGTATTATTGGTAAATTTTGAAATAAATGACGCAAATCATTACAGGCGACTCTAATTTTCTAATTAAAAAAAATCCCAAGTTGATTCTATATGCAAGCTTACATTGGATGATAATATGAGTTTTTAATATCATTAACATTATCATTAAACTAATTCATACTATTTAAATATGGTTTTCTTAATCCTCAATTTCATTTGTTTTTTGTCGAGTGTTACCTGATATGTTAAATTTATTCTTCAAAAATCATTTTGAACAACTCCTACCCATGTCACCTTAGATCTAATCCTTTGTCACGATTTTTATCAGCCAATTTAAAGAATACTTTATACCATTTATTTTACATGCTCAAACCATTTCAGTTTATTTTCAACTACTTTATTTCCAAAATAAGTTACTTTAACTATTTCATTAACATAGTCATTCATTAATTTATCCTTCCTGTTTCTATTGAAAGCGCATCCTTACATTCTCACTTTGTGGCATGTTTAGCCTGACTACTAACGACTTTTTTTTACTACCCAACACTAAGAGCTATAGAATCTAGTTGGCCTGACTTCAATATTATAAAGTTTACGTTTAAGACTCGTCAATATCCTCTTATGGCATAATACTTTAAAATCACTTCACTTTAATTACCCAAAGTTTTAAGCAAAGAAAGATATTAACTATCAAACTAAGTGCATCAAACCATGCCTCACAACTAATATACATATAAGACAACTAGTATATAAAATAACAAACATGAGAAAATAAAGAGAAAAGTTCTCTTGAGAAAGGAGAGGATGAGAAAAACAACATAATCTCCTATAAATTATATTAAGTTCCATATATGTCATCATCAATCAAAGCTAATATTGTTGAATAACACAATTAGGTAAAAATTTTATGAAGGTCAAATTTATCTGGAATCAAAAACAAATCTATTGATGCTCCTAAATCCCGATCATATCTATTTGAAAAAGAACCCTATATGAGATTTCAACTATAAGAGTTAAAATTATTTTGGCAACATTTATCAAGGTGGCATTGGAGAGTACAAGTAAAAAATGTTCAATTCCATATTTTTTTAAGCGCCAAAATAGCCTCATGAATGTTTACATGGAGTCATTTTAGTTCCATGGTCTATAAAAGTGTCAATTTAGTCGTCATAATTTTATAAGTGTTAATATAGGCTTAAATACTCTAAACAAGTGACTATTTTATAGAATATGGGACTAAAATGACCTCTTTTAAACAGTAAAAAGGCCTATTTTGACACTTCACTCTTCTTCTTCTTTTTTCTCCACTCGTACTAAACAAACCTCAGTTCTCCATTTTTAAATTCAGCAATGCAAATCAATCATTACTAGTTCAACTCCAAAGCTGCTACAAGAACTGTAATGGCATCTACCAATATATGCATAATGAAGCTTATTTCCACAAACCCATATACATAATTTCATCAAAATTTCCAAGTATAATTGATAACATAACCACATGCAGGAATTTGGCTGAAACTTTGCAGAAACAAATAAGAAGTATGTGGTTAATAGAAGTAGGTAAATAAGTTAACAGATAAACATAAAAACACCAAAAATTGTGTAAGAACCCAAATAAAATGAAATTTTAGCATCTCAAATAAATGATTTGTATGGTTCAAAGAGACTGAAGAAAAAATAAATGATAATGAAAATAATAAAGCAATTGAATTTAGAGTTTGTTTGCCACATTCTTCTTGTTGACGATAAACTAAGTGAATAAAGGCATTTTCAATTTCTTGCTATTGCTAGATTAATGAAAAATTGATTTTTTCTTTTCATGTCGCAGAGTGTCCATGTAAATCATGAAGATGAACCCTTTTTTTTTATTTTTCACCGGAGTTCAGCAGTTGCTTTTCGATAGAAGATGCATATTTTCACGTCATGGGTTCATCAAATTCCCTATGAATTGCTACAATCCAGCATCATTCAGCCCAATAAAACCCAAAAAAGATGCTGCTGTAGATAAGGGAAAGTAAGCATATACCGGCAAAGAGCTGTTTCGGTGAGAGTAGCAGAGGAAATCCTGCTCTGTTCTTCTTGCAGCGCTCGCTCTGTCTGCCAAAAACCTTTCTTCTTAAGATAAGCGAAAAGCGCTTTCTCGATTTCCTCGTCCTCCATCTCCGCGCCGAAGCTGAAGTAGAACGCCGCCGGGTAACTTAATCCGATTCCGAACCTGTGCGGCGCTTCAGGTCGGCTTTTTCGCCGGCGAACGCCGAAAGGTGGTTGGAGAGAGATCGGCTGTGAAGCGAAAGCGGAGGAGCGGGAGCTTTCGAGCCCTCCAAGTAGGAGTCCAAGAAGAGAGGAAAAACCTTGGGGCAATTACATACATAACACCAAATGCTGATCTATTTATCTATCTAACACTTAAAAACTTCATTTTTATATCTATACCACGCAAATCTTTTATATTATTTAAAAATATGATGATTTTAACTTTTAATATTTCGTCCTTTTTAGATCATTAAATTTGTGGTTTTGAAACTTTTAGGATTGGTTTGGGATAGTTTAAAGTGCGGGGGTGTTTTAAAAAACGTTACAGTACCGTTTTGATCGCATGTTTTGCCTTCTTATCCGAAAATGCAGTTTCATTTTACAATAGTCGTAGGCCGCGGATCGAACCTCGTTGTCGACCCGCTGCTTATCTTGAAACGCACAAGCTGCCCCAAATGCATCCTTAGTTTTGGCATGCTGCTAAAGGATGTATATGACTCGACACAAATCTTGATGCATTCTAGATAAATGACATATTCACTTTTAAAATCATTAGAACTCGACATTAGAAGTCCAATAACATTGAAAATGATTGATTACGAGCTCAAATAGACTCAAACCAAGTACCTGAAGTGCAATTATAAACACCATAGCATTAACCGGAAAAAAAAATACCTTTAAATTTGACTTGTTTATAATTAACACTAGAGCTAGAGCATTAAACAGAAAAAAAAATAAAAATCTTTAAATTTGACTTGTTTATAATTAACACTAGAGCATTAACTTGAAAATAAAAGAATATCTAAATTTGAGTTGTTCATAGTTAAATTGAGCGACTCAACACGAAGAATCAAATGAGCTTAATATCACATAATCATGAAGTTGTTAAAACTCTAAAATGCGGAAAAAAATAATCAGATATTAAATTAATCAACACATATCATTTAATAAAGTAATCTAAGGGGTTAGCCAAAAATTAAATAAAATACATATATAACAAATTATAAATAGAGTCACATTCTTCAAATGAGCGGAGAAGGAAAACATAAAACCGAATTGTCAATTAAGGCATAAGTTTTGAAATGAAATGTAAGTGCACGTTCACTAACTATTATTGACCATCACCTACGATTGTTGCAACCAACCACGGGTATTGAAACCACCAACTATGACTCTTACAGTCCTAAACTATGGTCGTTATAGCCCAATTATTAACCAAAATACAATTGTTATAATTGACAATAATCTTTGCAACCAAAATGCTATTATATAGCTGTGATTGTCGATTGTCATAATATAATACTTCATTTAAAAGAATAATAAAAAATTAGTATTTCAATTTCAATTATTTTGAATACTTTTTAAGCTATTTTTTGCCATTTATTATTTCTTATAAATATTATCTTTTTACGATTAGGAGGAAAGCGGTTCCAGTTAGGCCCATTTATGCGGTCCAGATAAGCTTTTATAGGCCCCAGTCCACAATTTCCAGCCCCACATTCCTGACACGTCTCACTCAGCCACGCCCACTCTAGAGCCACCATTACCCCTTCCCTTTTTCTCATGTACATTTCCACGAGAATGCTATATTTAGGGCTGTCAAGAAAACTTGTTGTTCGCGAACCGCTCATGTTTAGTATATTACATTATTATTTATTATTTATTTATACAATAATATATTACATATATTATTTATATTGTTCGCGAACAGCTCATGTTTAGTATATTACATAATTATTTATTATTTATTTATATAATAATATATTACCTATATTATTTATATAATAATATATTATATACATTTATATCTAAGCTTAAGACGTAACTGCTCGTTTGGTAAGGTGGTTATGCGTCTTTTTTTTTTTCACTTGGTCCTGATTCGAATCCAGCACTTTACATTTATTTTTTCAGTTTAATTTTAACGAGCCAATTTCGAACACGAATAATTTCGAACGAGTCAAACATGAGACAAGCCTGAGCTCGCTCAAGCTCGGCTCGTTTACAGCCCTAGCTATATTGCTACCCTACGAAATATATCCAATTCAATTATTGTAATGATAATTATTTATATATTTAGTTAAACCGTAAAATAAACATGTATTTTGAAGATGTATTGATGCTTGTCATGAGGAGAACTAATGGTCTAAAAAGAGGAGGGTATGATAAAGAGGACCAATCGACAGAAGGCAAGAGGTCCACTGATCCGATTGGATGCAGCTGTTTGGGCCAAAGCAAGCAAGACTCAAGTTGACATATTCATGAAAGGTGACCGAATAGTCTGAATCTGAGTCGTTCGTTCGGAAACGAGAAGAAGAAACGTTGAAGCCAACCAGCATGAAGAAGTTAACTCGAAGGAAAAATTCAGACCTCGGCATCTCCAATCAAATTGGGAGTATCCAAAAGCTCACACATATATCATCAAGAGTCGACAATCCAAAACATACCGAGCCCGTCCCGTGGACTCAAAGCCAATTGAGTTCAGCCGACCAGCAACGTCGATTAAATCTAATCAATTGAATCGACCATATTGAGTCGAAGCCATAAAGGCTTAGTCGAGCGAACCAAAATATCCGAGCAATAAACTCGTACCTCTAAAATAAATTTTGAGACAAAAATGTAATATTATCATATTGTACTATCATCTATAAATAAAAGATCATTTAATGTACAAAGGTAGGTAGATACACTCGATTTTAACCAAAAATATCATGAAATATTAACACAATTGATATAATCTACTGTTCACTCATCCCTTTCTCCCCCTCTCCTTCATTTCTTACACTCTGTTTCTTAAGGTGTGATTCAATGACAAATAAAGACCGAACAAAAATATTTAAAAGTGGTATTTTAAATAAATGAAGATTTACATACATGCCACTCAATTTTCGCATGTATTTACATATCGAACTCCACAATTTAAGTTTTTACATATATGCCTTATTGCTTATACATCAAAATATATATTTCACTTTTTAAAAGTTCTTATTCGACGTGATATGGAAGATTTAGGTGATATAAAAAAAAAATAGTAAAATTTAGTGTTAGTTATATAAATACGTGTGAATTAAGTGGTAAGTATGTAAATGGCCATCAAATAAATGATAATTGATTAAAAGAAATATTTTTATTTGCTCATTTAAAATAAAAAGCATCTATTGCTACTATTGATATCCATTTCGCATGGAGGGGCATTTACATAAGTACCACTCAATTCCTATGAAATTACATATCTAACCCGGAATATTTATTTTTTTTATATTTATACCGCTCAATTATTTCACATCACATAAAATATTCCTACCTAACCTTCAAACATTAAATATACATTTTCTTGCACAAATAAGGTGTTATGCATGTAATACATTAAAGTTTAGGTGTAGATATAAAAATACATGTAAAGAAATAGAATGGCATGTTTGTAAACCATCAAAATTTTAGATAAATTTATACATTAAAAACAAAAAATAAAAGAAGCTTGAGCAATGAGCATTATATATGTGAATATAGATATTATCATAGATTGGAAAATTTACATACATAACAGACAATTCTTATGTATTAACATATCTTGTGCCTAAACCTTTTTATATCTCACTAATAAAAAAACATATTTTGTGCCTAAACCTTTTTATATCTCACTAATAAAAATTTGTAATATTCTATTTTTGACATTATATTATTGATTTAAGTGCTAATGTTTGCGTAAGATGTTGGTGTCAGACACTTCCGAGTGAATTTACGTCGCAAAATGACCCATACAGAAACGTTGGTCGCAAAGACAATTAGCTTCGGGAATTGACAATGCAAATGTTTGCGTGAGATGTTGGGTTTGAATGTGCATTTTTAGAATGTTATGGCATGATTCTTGTGGACGCAAAATCAACTATGAAAGAAGTTACAGATTTTACCAATACATGCTTAATGTTGCAATACATTGGGATTTGACCGACACTAATGTGTGTAGGGGGAATTAGATGCAAATCCTACGTGAACATGTGCAAGTATCCATCCACACATTTACACATTACAACACACAACAGATTGAACAAATATATGTCAACAGTGAAGTTGTTCATCCAACATAATTTATAAAATGTAAACGTTAAATATATATGCAGTATACATGTTCAAATACAAAAGAAAAATAAATAAGATAAGAACATAAATTCCTAAGGGGCATCCTCATCACAGTCATCCGCACACTCGTGTTCCTCTTCCTATTCCTCTTCCTCATGTAATGAACTCAGAGGCCGCATGTCTTGCCGATCTATAACCGTATCCCGTTTCCAGTCGGATGATGTTGCATCAACTATTTGCTGCCCCTAACATAATTGATGAAGTTCTTCCGTCATAGTAACGACACAAGGCATCGATAACGACGACCTCAGACCTTGAGCAAATTGGGAGTGCTTGGCCTAGATACAATAACCTTTGAGCTTAGGTTGACCATCTTCTTTCTAGCAAGGGCTGTCAAAAAAGCTCTTTGTTTGTGAATAGCTCATGTTTAACTCATTAAGTAGCTCTTGTTCGAAATGTTTATTAAATAAACAAGCTTGAAATAAAGAATTTACGCATATTATTTAAATGATAAAATATTATATATATTTATGTCTAAGTTTAAATAATAATTGCTCGTGTGGTCACATGGTTTTACTCCTTCTACCGCACAAAAGTGTTGAGATTTGAATCTAACGCCTTACATTTAGTTTTTTAATTAATTTAAGTGAACTAAATTCGAGTCGAACAAGAAAAAAAATTATGTAAATCGAGCCGAATACGAAAATACTGTTCACAAGCAATATCAAACACAAGTCAATTTTGATCACGAGCTATTATTGAACGAATCAAACACGAGTCCAGGCTGAGCTCATCCAAGCTTGGCCAGTTGACAAGCCTATTCCTAGCAGCCATATCTCAAAGTTAGGCTGCTCAGGACCAGCCTTACCATCACTATTACTAGTACATGTTGGGTTTTGTCTCTGGTTTTGGCTCTACGTGTCTTGAATGTGCTCGTAGTAATCTTCAAAATTAAATTTAAGTAATAATTAATATTTTACATTAAAAAATTAAGTAAAACGTAAAAAATAGTAGGTTACGATAGACACGTCGAGATAGGCCAAAGACCCATTGTTGCTTATATGGGCGCCGATGCTTCTGGACGTGAAATTTCGTCGTGATGGGAGGCTGACCGAGCTCTTGAGCCTATTGACATGAAAAAATAGTTGGTACCAAATAATTGAATAAACAAATTATCGAGTATTGAGTGAGTTTTACCAACTTTCTCAAATGCTTTGTGTGCAAGGCCAATTCTCCAATGTGGAGTGCAGCGCCCCTACCCCAGTTAATCGTATAATTTTGTTGGTTTGTATCCCTCTTTCTCTGATATTCAGAAATGACCCTTAAATTGGTTAACTTCGCACATATCTCCTCCCCAAACCAGATGAATCACTCTTCTATCTTATGAGCTATTGTGATTCATCATTGAGTCGATGCCTGACGTGACCCTCACAATTATGTCAGATCTCCTGTGATGCTCAGGAAGCCAGTAGAAGACCTTCGCAAAATAAATATTACAAAATAGTTAATATTGTAACAAATAAATCAATACAATCAATACAAAATGGTTGTACAAGTAGTGATAAATCAGTCAAACTTAGCCTAAAGAAAAATGAGAAGTATAGATTCATACTTTTTATATACAATTTTTATTTTTATGCTATGATTTTTTACAATCGATAGAAACATGCATCTTCACCTTTGGTACAACCGAGTTGTATTTGTTATACTTAGATAAATCAATACAACGGATACAATATGACTTTACAAATAGTGATAAATCATTCAATCATATTCATCAGAAAAAACAAAAATTACAAATTCATTCTTTCTATATATACAATTATTTTTATTGTTATATTATAATTTTTTTTGCAAAAGTAACTACATTGTATCATTCCCTTAGGTACAATCGTGTTGTACCAGTTGTACTGAGATAAATTAGTACAATTAATACAACAAGATTGTACAAGATAAAATTAGCCAAACCTAGCCACAGTGCTAAGCAAAAAAATAATAATAATAACTCATTCGTCGGCACACAATCAAAATAGTCTCATTCAAATATGAATTATTAAATATTACATAAATCAAACCGTTTCAATTAATAAGAAAATAAAGCTTATATATTAACAATGTAAACAAAATTTTGTTTCAAACATATCAATAAGTTCAAGTCTATAATTTTGTCACTAGAAAGAGAATCAAACATAATCTCAGTATTGTTTAAATTACCACTATGGTTGTTCTCTATTCTCACGGTTCTTCAAGAGTTTTGACAATGCAACAATTTTTTCTTAATTCCAGCAACGACAATAACTTTTAACTGATGTTCCACAAGGAAAAAATCTTTCATACCTAAACCCTAAAAGTTGAACGATCAAATGTTCTTATGTTACTATCAAATCATTGGCGCGTTCTTTTTTATGTTAAAAAGACACGACAATACCCTACGACGGGTCGAACTAGGCCACATCGTTACTTAAGTCGTTTGTTATGAATTCTTTAGAATAAAATAATAATAATAATAATAACACTTATATATTTAGATTGAATTGCACATGTAATTCTGTGTGCCTTATAGAGACAAAATATGTTTTATTAGTAAAACTTTTGAGATATCTAATTTAAATTACAAGATTTATTGTCTTTCCTCTTAAGACTTATAATATGAAATAATTTATTCCTAGAAAAAGTTATAAGGGATAAATTATTTCTTTAATATAAGGAGATATTTTAGTTTCATATATTAGGAATTATTTTTTTTCCTATTTTATATTATTTCCTATTATCTTCTAATAATTAGTAAAAATTAATTATTGGAGATATCAGATGATATATTTTTCCTTTCATATCATTTCCTTTTTATTATTTTTCATATTATAGGATTTTTTAAGGGTTATTTATAAGGGGAGCTGTGTTTCCCACCTGACCTTCTCCAAGCAGCCATTAGAACCAGATACCTCTTTACATTCTTCTCTACATCCTGCAATTCCTGTAGCTTATGTTGCACCTCACTTTTTCCCTATGTAGGTGTCGCTAGTCGTCGGTGTCAATTCTGCAGCATTTGTTGTGCCTCAATTTTTTTCCTGCGTAGGTGTCTGGTTCACTACACCATTGCGATTTCAACGGTTTCCCCTACGCAGCCATTCGGGCAATTGCAGACTTGTATTTTCAGCAAACAACTGACATTATTTTCTCTTTCTAGTAGACATTTTGGTTCGCCAATGAGATTTGTTTTTCTCTCTAGTGCAAATTACAGAGAATCTTCAGTTGAAATCCTAGTTTTCACTCTATGGTGGAAATCGTTGTCTCTCGTAGAACTGCACAGAGCACTGGCTTCCTTGCGGGCATTCCCATGATCGTTTTCCCTGTAGTTTTTTCAGTCGCAGATCCTTCTTGCTGGATCTTCCAGCCGTGGACCTACCAATTTTCTTCCAGGACCGTCGAAGCACCTACCTATAGCGGGACCTATCCCTTGATGACTTTCTTGTTACTGGAACTCCCTCATGTAGCCCTTCATGCTAGTGAAATTCTCTCCTGAGGCCTTTCCTTCCATTTGAACTTCCTGCGGACATATCTATTGCCGACGGGACCTTCGGGTTTACTCCTGCAGCTGGTTCTCTCCCCTGCAACCTTTCCCATCGTCAGACCTCCCTCATGCAACATTTCTCGCCATCAGATCTACATCAACAAATTTTCCCTGCAGATTTTGGCCAGCTTGTCCATCGAAAGCACTGCTCTTTCCTGCAGCATTATTGCAGCCTTCTCCGAGCACTACAACTTTCCTAAGCACTGTCGTTGGCCCTCTACAGCTTTCCTGCAACCCCCCTGTACCCTCATTGCAGCTTTCCTACAACCTCCCTGCAGCCTTCTTGCAGCTTTCCTGCATCTTTCATGCAACATTATTACAGCTTTCTTGTTGCTTTCATATAATTATCAGTCATCTGGTGACTTACAAATTCATCAATGTCTCGAAATTGAGCTTAGCCCTCGTCTAGGCCACTCTCAGGATTCGGCCACTCTCAGGCTTCAACATTCTCGGCTTCGGAGCTCTCAGGCTTCGACACCCTTAGGCTTCGTCACTCTCAAACCTCGACATTCTCGACTTCGACACTTACGGTTTGAGGATTGTTGGAGTTTCTTGTTGGCAAATTGATGCTGCCTGTCCAGTCAGCATACTACAACCGATGTTTTCAAATTCAAGTTGAATATTGTTTTCAACCATGTTCAACTTGAGGGAGAGTGTTGAGATATCAAATTTAAATTACAAGATTTATTGTTTTTCCCATTAAAACTTATAGCCTGTCCAGTCAGCATACTACAACCGATGTTTTCAAATTCAAGTTGAATATTGTTTTCAACCATGTTCAACTTGAGGGAGAGTGTTGAGATATCAAATTTAAATTACAAGATTTATTGTTTTTCCCATTAAAACTTATAATATGAAATAGTTTATTCCTAGAAAAAGTTATAAGGAATAAATTATTTCTTTAATATAAGGTGATATTTTCGTTTCATATATTAAAAATTATTTGTTTTTCTATTTTATATTATCTCATAATAATTAATAAGAATTAATTATTGGAGATATCAGATGATATATCTTTTCTTCCATATCATTTTCTTTTTATTATTTTTTCTATTATAGGATTATTTTAAGGTTTATTTATACCCCGTTCATATGAATAAAAATATTTTGAAATATTCCACTTTGTTTCTCATTATTTAAAATTTCAACAAAAATTATGCTCTCACCTGAAAAAAAATAAAAATTTTAACACTTCACAAAATTGAAATTATGAATATAGTTATATATCTATATATATATATATATATACATACATATGTATATATACATATACATATATATATATATATATAAAGTATGTACATATAAGTTATATACTACTGTATATATATATACTTATATGTAGTTATATACTTATAAAAGTTTGAATGACAAGGTGAAGGATTCTTAAATGGGCAACACACGGCGCGCGGGACCGCACTGGCTTCACTTTCCTCCCTGCGGCAATGGCCAACTATTTCCGGTAACTATCGCTTTTGCGTTTCCAGTTCTATAAAAGGAATCCCCGCCAGAGCTTTTTCTTCTTATAGAGCTTTCTTCCTCATCTCTCCCGTTCGTCAACATCACTAATCACTGCTGTTTCAGTAGACTGGGAGAGCTAGGAGTGGAGAAAAGAGATTTGAAGATGGGGAGGGGGAAGATAGAGATTAAGAAGATAGAGAATCCGACTAATCGGCAGGTGACCTACTCGAAGAGGAGAGCTGGGATTATGAAGAAGGCGAGGGAGATCACTGTTCTCTGCGATGCTGAGGTTTCGCTTATCATGTTCTCGAGTACTGGGAAGTTTTCTGAGTACTGTAGCCCTTCGACGGAGTGAGTACTGCACGCAGTGTCATTTTGTTTGGAATATCTGTCTTAGTTACACTTGTTTCTAGGGTTTTATATTTTGTTCGTTTTTATGTAGAACGAAGAAGGTTTTTGAACGCTACCAGCAGGTATCTGGCATTAACTTGTGGAGCTCGCAGTACGAGGTGATAGATCTGCAAGCCTTCTAGATTTGTAATATATTTTTAGTTTGTTTGGTGGAGATGAGGATTGATATTTAGGGTTTGTTTTGTGTTTTGTGTTTTGTGTTTGAGTGGAAACAGAAGATGCTGAATACGCTTAACCATTCGAAGGAGATCAATCGCAATCTGAGGAGGGAAGTAAGGTGGGTGTAAGAGAAGAGAGAAAGAAGAATGGAGGAGAATGGAAACTGGAGTTGGGTGTCAGATAAAGCTGTGAAAGCTGTTGCATGTTTACCATTTTTTTTCATTATTTTTTTTATTTTGACTTGGGAAACATTAATATATGTTTTTTCTTCTTGGATGGTGAAAAGGCAGAGGATGGGGGAAGATCTTGAGGGACTGGATATCAAGGAACTGCGCGGTCTTGAGCAAAACATTGATGAGGCATTGAAGCTAGTACGAAATAGAAAAGTGAGATCTCAGCTATGCCTTCTATACACAGCTTCTCTTTTTGAAAGCTAGCTCTTCACTATCATTCCTCAAATTTCAAAGCATGCTCGGTTTATCGGCTAGTTTAAAACCTTTTAACATTTTTTTGTAATTGGAATTGTTTGCTTTTAGTAACTATACAAGATTTAATGCAACTTTCTTTATTTTGTCTTGAAATATTAACTCTATGGTTTGGAGATTTATTTTCTCGTTTTCTAAAGCTTACTAATCTCCATTAATTGATAATAAATTATTATTTACTATGGTTGTGATTTTACTTCGCTAACACTTTTTATATGAATGATTTATTGACAGTATCATGTAATCAGTACTCAAACGGACACCTACAAGAAGAAGGTTTTTAATTTTTCCCCTTTTTTCATTTTTTTAATCTACTTTTTCGATTATTTTATTTCATATATGCTTTTGAGACTTTGGTTTCTCCCCTTTTGAGTGGAAAATTAGTTAATATACAAGAGAATCAAGATGCATGTAACCCTCAAGAAAGGAATACTTGATAAATATAGTTTGTAGAATATATATATATATATATATATATATATATATATATATGGGTGGGAAGTTAGTATGCAACTGCATTGTCAGTCGTAAGACTCTTCTAACCTAGATTCGATCCCTACAGTATTCTTAAATGCCACCCTTTGTATAATGTCAAAGATTTTACAAAAGGGTTTATCATTTTGCAAAATAGAAATACCCATAAGATATATTTTTTTTCTTTGGCTTTTGATCGACATATCAAACAATTGAGAGAAAACTCGTAAAATTAATATTCAATGAATGCTCTATATTTTTGTTTGGGATGTTTAGAGTGTATTTATTTGCTTAAGTTAATAAAGTATCATTTGGCCATACATTTTGTTTGGGGGAAAAATACTTATACTTGGGAGATGTCATTTCATGTGACAGTTTATAGGTCATCTTTATATTTCCTGTGGTAAAAATAATTGATTGATGGAAAAAACATTTGCTAAATTATCCAAAATAAGATAGTTAACTCAATTGAGAGAAGACGACCCTCAGCGACGTTTGGTTTATTATACATAAAAAACCTTTTGGCTATTTTATATATATATATATATATCTGTGTATGTAGAAATTTCTCACAGAAATAATTTTTGGCTCATAAATAAAATTCATCTTTTCGTCAAGTTTCATTAGATCAAGCACATCCTTCACTTTTCTACATTTAATATAGTGCCATTTATATGCATACCACCTAATTCTTATGTACGTATTTATGTATCACACCTAAGCTTTACTATTTACATTTATACCATCGAAACATATAGAATTGAAGTTTTGGTATTAGAAATGTTAATACGTGGGAATTTAGTGGCATGCATTTAAATCTTCCTTTCAAATATCATTTCACAGTTGAAAAATCTATACAAAATTAATTCCTCAATGGTTCGCTATGTCCCTAATTGTTTAGTCAAGCTCAACATTCACCTCTATTATATCCAGTCGGTTCTTTAGCCAATGTTGAAACAAATTAAATTCAAGAGTTAAAAATCGTCTAGAAATGCAAAATATCAAGGCGTCTTTTGACTTATCTAATAAGGACAAGCAATGGCCTCTTGGAATATATTTGTTGTAGAGGATTGTTGACCATATATTTCTCAGGTATGTGCTTATCATAATGGTGCCTTATTAGGGTAGAGTGTCTTCTCTAGGAATATATTTACTAATTTTTAATATGAAACTTATTTCACAATTTTGCTCTTCTACCCACATTGCTAGCTTATTCCATGGAGATTGTGTTATGAGCTACATTTTATCATTGTCAAATTTAATGATAGTAATTTAGATTTAATTTATTTTAGCTATGATTTAAATTTAGGAGCATTTTTGTTTGATATTTGATGATTGAAATTTTATATCACAGTTATTCAACATTTTAAATTAATGTGAGTTTAAAATTATAAGCTTATAAAACCTGTTTAGTTGTCAATCATGTATGAATGCCATTTGAGATTTTTCGTCGTATTTCG